TTTTTTTTTTTTTGTGGGGGGGGGGGGGGGGGCGGACATCATGAAAATGATAATTATCTAAGAATCTATAACTCTAGTTTGAATACATATCATTGAAGAAATTTTCATAAATTAACACAGAGTTCATTTCGCAAATAAGCAACGGGATAGTGTTTAAACAGATGTGATTTTTATGTTTAACATGTTGACAATATCACACTGTGCTTATAAAAAAAGTAGTTAATTGCTTTTAAATTTAATAATTAAAGCATTTTTATAATTTAATCATTACAACATTTGCGTAATTTAATCATTACAACATTTGTATAATTTAATCATTACAACATTTGTATGATTTAATCATTGCAACATTTGTATAATTTAATCATTACAACATTTGTATAATTTAATCATTACAACATTTGCATATTTTATGAAGAAATTAATCCAGTTCCAGGAAGATCTAAGACAGTCAGAAGGGCTGCATGCGGTCTTGACGGCCAGATGAAACTCTCGAAAGGCTGCATGCTGTTTTGACGGTCAGACTAAACGTCTTGAAGGGCTGCATGCGGTCTTGACGGTCAGTCTAAACGTCTCGAAAGGCTGCATGCGGTCTTGACGGTCATAGGGACCCCCCCCCCTCTCTGTTACATACTTATAAAGATGTTCAACCTATAAACAAGATTTGTATTAATTTTTTCAATAGGTCCTCTTGTTTCATGTTTTGCTTTTGTTTTGGTAAACTGGACTAATAACAACAAGAATAATAACAACGATAACATCAACAAAAAGCAGCAACAATCCTAGTGAGAAGCTACCAGATAATTTTTAGAACTGTTAATATTATCAGAATCGGTTCAGTTTGTAGAACTCTCCAAAACTGCAACACCCCCCCCCCCACACAACAACTTAAAGAAAACTTTCCCCGAATGACCAGTCTGACCACATACAACGGTTTGTCAACAGGGTGTGTCAGCTGTCAGAGCAGAACAGTGTTAACGTGTCACTGTGACCGTTCAAAGTGTCATTGCTAAATAACATAGCATACAGTGTAAAAAGGAAGGGGGGTGGAGTTTTCCTCT